TCATGGGCATTGCTGCCACCAACACCCCCATTCATTTGTTTTTGCCTCACTGTATTCCTCAGGGGCAGGCAAGCAGCGTGCATTTGCTTGCTTTTTTTAGTGTAAGACTGATGGAAATTACTCGCATGAAGCCTTAACAAAGAATTATTACGTCTGCTTGTGCAGCCGGTGCATGGTTGGGTGATGTTGTGAGGCCTAACCCAATCAGATGAGATACAAAAGCTTAGACTGCTATCAGAAGATGAATAAAAAGACACCAAAGCCTTCCAGAGATTTAAAAAAAACCAAACATCTGTAATTGTTCTTAGCAATTCCCCTCCTGTGACAGGCATGGTGTATGTTGAGATCAAGATGACAGGCTGAGCTTTAGTCACATCCATAGCTCATCTCTTTTGAAACACCAAAAAGACCCACTGAAAAGACTTGCCAGCCATGGTCACAAGGGCTCCCAGCACAGTGAGCCTAAACTGAGCTCAGCATGCGGGTAGGTTGCAGTTACTCACTGAGCTGGTTAATCAATGAATGCATTCTGTCTCCACTTCTTCATTTAATGGATTTGTTGTAAAAAACAAAGTGCAGCTATTGCGAAGATCAAAATTACACCGCATGAGTGCACCAGAAATCTGTGTGTAGAAGCATATTGCAGTGTTTTGGGGTGTCACTGCTTAGTAACCTTATTATTTATGCTCTTTTACTGTCGATTTGCTTTTATGAGCTCTCCCCTTTCCACAGGGCGTTGATCCAGTGTTGATGTATGCAATACTGGCTGCTTATGCATTTTTATTGCACGCCTCTGTGCTACGTTACGAAAACAAAAGATCCCAAGATTCTGAGTTTAGAATTATTTACGTGGAAATTTAGATACCTCCTTCTCATTAGAAGTAACGGAAATAGTGCACTTTACCTTTCTGTACGGAGAATACTCAGAAGATGTAAGGTCTTTCTTTTCTCCTCCTTTTTCTTGAGGTGGCATTGATTACGAATGGTTAAAATGGCTGTGCCTGCTGCAATATTTTAACTCCATGGTAACAGCTCTTCTGGATATTTGAATGAGGCCACTAAGTCTAAGTCTGTTGTGTGGTGCAGCTGACAGCAAAGACTGGTTTTTAGTCTCTGTGGGACAATGAAGCGTTGGTAGAAACCCTTGATGATCAAACTCCCTTGCCTCCTGCCAGGGCGCGTTGCACAGGTCTGTCTTATGCAGTGCCTGTCGCTCGGTGCACTTCGGTGCTATCTCTGCTTCCAGAGCTTCCTGTGGTTTGTACTGGAGCATGCGAAAAACGATGAGCGTAGAATTTGCCTTTACTCCTTCCTTCCTCGTCCTCCTGAAACTGGTGTTCAAAGCGCCATTTGCAGTTCACGCGGTGAACCAGAATCAAAACTTGCCGTCGGTAATCAAAGAACTCCTGTGTTTTTTGCCAGATTGCTGAGAGCAAACGAGGAAGTCATCATTGAAATTCCCACAAAAGCCTGTGAGGGTCAAGAAAACGCCATTGCGTCTCTGGAGCACGTGCAGCTTGAGGCAACCATTGAGTATTCCCGCAGAGGTGATCTTCACGTCACCCTGGTGTCGCCATCAGGTACAGGAGGCAAAGGCGCGCTTCCGTTGCGTAGCGTGTGGCGTTTATTTCGTTAAAAACCGCCTCTGTGTTCTTCAGTGGGTTGAAAAGAGTTAAAGGTGTCGTTAAACAGATGTGGTCACCGCCGCGAGGTGCGGGCGAGGACTTTGTCCTCGCATCCTGGGGACCATGGAGCGGGTTCTCTGTAAACCCCTTTCCAGCCTTTGTGTGTTCTGGGTTGTTTTTGTGAGAAGAGGTTTGAAAAATCACACTTCAGAGAATGAAGGCAGCGTTTCTGATACGTTTTCGTGCTGGCAGCAGGACCTATAAAAACGACAAGTTCCTGGCAGACAGTGAATTGCAGTTCAACAGCGCTTGTCAGCTTTACTGCGATTTAACAAACTAATGGAAAACTGGGGAAATCTGACTCCAGTATTTAAAAACACAGTGTCTCTGCTAGGCACCTTAGTGCAGCTGTCCTAAAGGTGCTAGAGTATGGCGCGCTGTCTTGGCAGTGCCCTGAAATAACACCATAAGAATAATAATAATAATAAAGAAAGGGGAGAATTGGTATGAACAACTTTGTAGGGAGTAAGATCTGTTAGATCAACTGGTGTTATCAGAAGAAACAAGCTTTCAGGGATTAATCTGTACATCGGGCTAATCTAATTGATGGATCTTGAAGGCTAATCTAGTAATCCGCAGTTAATAAAGCAGCAGAGCTTTGTTCATGTCGTTACTGCAGGACCTCGCTAGAGAGCAGGGTTAAGATGCTGTACGTACAGTGCACTTCCAAACCTCACCTCGCCCGGGATTTCTTTTAAGGCTAACCTCAATTCTTCCTTTTCCTGGTTTACCTGTTGTCTTATGGGGGCAATGTTGCTGTGAGGTGTTTTACCTTTGGCTCTTGGGTGTGTTTTCAAATTAAATTCCATTTTAGATAAGTTTTAATTTGGGAGAAGATACATGCACCGTCTCTAGGGGCATCACGGGGATGACGGCAGCAGTAGATCTCATTCTACTTTTATAGAGGTGTTTTCCTCCCAAGACGCTGTTCTTTGGTTAATGTGCAGGAAGCACGGCTTAATCTTAGAAAAACACCCCTTTCTGAAAGGCTGACGATAGTAACATGTCCTTCACCTTTGTATTTCTGTGGGTTTAGCTGAGGTAGCGATAGTCAAGTGCTGCTGCCTCCACTGTCGTATTGGGTCGCTGTCGTGGTTAAACTGCTCTTGCCCTCAGTTCTTGCTGATTTTCCACACTCCTGCAAAACAGTGCTACCAGATGTATGTCACTCCTCTTCTGTATTTATGGTATTACCTTTAAATATTTTTGTAGCTTGTGATCAGGCTTCCTGGGGCTTCTCTGTTCCTTATTATGTAAATACACCTCCCTTCCTCTCTCCATATATGCAAACAACCACAACAAATTTCCTACTGTGCGGCAGCATCTCTTCTGCTGCAGAAGCACTTTGTGAACTGCAGCATTTTTGTAATAATAATAATAATAATAATAATAACAACAACAACAACAACAACAATAACAACAACAACAACAACAACAGTGCAAATGCTTTTCATCCTGTTGGAGTTCCAGGCTGTAATAATTTACATCCACTCACCAGGAAAAAAAACCATAAAGGCAGCGATGAATTCAGGATGAGGTTTTGGTTTCACGGTACTCCTTGAGCTGGTTTGCCTTCAAAACTTCCTCCTCAGACCATTCCTGAGCTGTTCATCGGTGGAAAAGACTGGTTGTGTCTGACCCCTGATGCTCATCGCACATCCACTACTTCTTGGTGTTAGAGCTTGAATGCCAGGCAAAATGTACCTTTTTAGCATGACCGAGCCTGGTAGTTTTTATGCTCTGCAGTGCTGCTGTGAAAGTAATAAAGCACTGATCAGAAACAGCACGTTTCCCATTGCACAGGCGTTTTCCAGGTCGCCTGTGCGCTAGGCAGTGCGTGCATGGCCACCAATGCGCTTCTTGCACCAACAGGGACCAGCACGGTCTTACTGGCTGAGAGAGAGAGAGACAAATCCCCCAATGGCTTCAAGAACTGGGACTTCATGTCTGTTCACACCTGGGGAGAGAATCCAGCAGGCACCTGGGTTTTGCGGATTACTGATGTGGTAAGTGTGTCTGTCTGCATCTTAACCAGCTCTGTTCGGACACTAACACGGGTAAATGATGGCTGACCACTGCGCAGCACATTGAACGGTGAGTCCTCTCATTAAGAAAGCTGCAACGGGAGTTTATTTAAGCTAACCATCCGTCTGGATTGAAGGCTGTCTTACCTGAAACACACAAGAAAAAAATAAAGATAGGGTTGGATTTTCTTCTTCTTTATGTAAATGCAAAGCGCCATCCTCCTTTCACTGACATGTACCTGTCAAAAAAATTTCATGGCTGTTTTTCACACATTATGTGTCACTGAAAGGAGTCGCTTAATGTAATTTTCTGTGATTCGTGGAGTGAAACATGTAATCGAATTAACATACGATTAACTGCAAATTAGGTTTCTCTGCTGAAGAGAACACAGGATAGATCCAGTCTTCTCTTGGTGCACGTGCATAATCTTCCTTAACCCAAACCCTTTTGAATTCATGACTTTCTGCTGACCTCAGAGAGCTGTTCTGATGTACACCTTTCCCTGACTCCTTTCTCAGAGTAATTACTGCCGAGCAACGTGTAAGGATTAAAGCCAAGAAATCTACAGATATGACATAAATACATTTACTAAACCCACCTGGGGATATGGATTACAACAGCGAGGCACCAGAATAAAGCTGCCTGGTAGGCAGCTGAAAAATCATTTCTCTTCAAAGGGAGAGTGATCAAGCACACTCATCTCTGGAGAATTTTGTTGGGTTTGTCATTAATAGGCTTGTCATTAGGGGTCAGACCCTGCCTGTCAAACACTGAGGCTCCAACCCCTGTTGGCCCCAGACTGTAAACAGGAGGGTAATGCCAAGGACTAAGCAGATGGACAGGGCAGCAGAAGTAAATATTATTATCAACAGTGTAGTGCTAATACTGCGGGCTTATGGATAACCCCATGGTTACAGATAGCCTGCTCTTTGCAATTAACATAATGCGTTTTTTGGAGTGAAGTTAGGAAGAGCATTTTGTCTGTAATTATGTCTCATTTTCCATTTTCAAGTGAGACGTTCCTGAAACTTGCAATAAAACAAGCTTTTTGTCCTCACGTTGTTTTTGTAATACGCTCTTTCCTCAGCTTTTAGGGTTTTGTGGTTCCTGAAATAAGTTTTCACATTAATGACCCTGGCTGAAATCACAGATTGCCATGCAGAGTTACTCGTAATTCAGTTGTCATCATCTAAGTTGGGGGTGAAAGCTTTGGTGCAGACTTCTATTAGACAAGAAGAGCTTCAGCAGCTGACTTCAGCAGCTGAGCAAAAATTCTGGAAGGGTTTGGTACAATAAAGTGTCAGTGTTCTCTGTGCTTGTCTTGTCCCCTTTCTGCTATTTAAATACTGCTGCCAAAACTGAGGAGGATAGCATTTATTGCTCACTTCCACACGCTGTGTTTCAGACTGTGGTCCTGCACCGCTGCAGGGTATGATTCCAAGTTACTCTTCCAGTGGAAATCGCCAAGGAACGGCTTAGTGAACGAGTACTGATAATAAAGTACTCTTTCAGTGGTTTTTATAATTCTGTGTTATGATGAAATTGCATTGGTGCTTACGCGATTAGTAATCGTGTTGCGTCAGAACGTGAATATTTGGAGTAGTTAAGCCATTGTATTAAATCCCTCCTATTTCTGATATATCAGTCTTTTGATGCTTACAAATCATTGTGTAAATTTAGATATCAAAAGCTAAGATACAAATTTTAAAAAGCTAAGATATAAATTTTATAAAGCTAAGATATAAATTTAGATATCTAAAAGCATTTAGATACCAGTTTATTTCAGTCCCTTCTGCCTACTTTGTGATCAAGTGCCCGGTTTTCCCCCTCTAATGTCCCGAGAACCTTTGCTAATGCCGTGCTTGTCTTTCAGTCCAGAAGAATACAGAATGAAGGGAGGATTGTAAACTGGAAGCTGATTTTGCATGGCACTGCTACCCAGCCTGACCACATGAAGCAGCCACGTGTGTACACATCCTACAACGCAGTGCAAAATGACAGAAGAGGAGTGGAGAAGATGACGGACTTTGTCGAGGTACCGTTACGGTATTTTTTTCCTTCCTTACGTATTTTTCAACTTAGAAGAAAACGATATTTCTTTTCCTAGTAACACACACATTCATTTAGTATTCGTTCCTTCTAGCCCCTGACCACTTCTGAGTTGCGTATTGTGATTTTGCCCACGTCAACAACTGATTATTTTAATTAGTCTCTGTTTTCTTGCTCCAACGTCTGAGGGTTTTAGGGTGGGGTGAGGGTATTGCTACTGAATCAGTGAACTCAGTAGCTGGTGTGATTGAGTGGTACAAGGAGGGGTGAGACATCTTCAGAATACTTTATTAATCACATCACATTGATCTGTTTCCTCATTAGGATGTCCATAAATTATGGATGGATTAACCTTCCTCAGGTTATGAAGGAGAAGATCGAGGGAGACATGATTATGGTCTTTAAGTACATTAAATAAGTGTCTGCAGATGTGGCAACCATGTGCAAGAAAATGAATTATGCTATAAAATGACATGTCCTATCCTGCCAATGTGGAATATGAATTTATAACTTCCCACATTGTGGTGGGATTTGATATTCTGTACGGTGTAGAGCTTTTGATAGTCTGTGTTGGTCTGTAATGGTCGAGTTGTTTTCTAGATGCTGGTGGCTCCTACGTGGAAAAACAGCATCTACCCACACGCAGATGGAAATCACTGATCAGAGCACATCTTAATCTGGTCAGTTTTTCATCACAACCTGACATTTTTTGTGCTGCTCTGTGTTCTAGGACCATACCACACAGGAAAACCTGAGTGAAAAGCCCAGAGTCACGGAAGATCCCAGCAGCGGCAGTGACAAAGCAGAAGGTAAAATCCCATCAGAGGCCATGCTGCATTTGCTGCGTAGTGCTTTCAGCAGGCAGATGGCTCAGAAGCGGCTGCCAAAGAAGACTGCGAGTGAGAAGTTAAATATTCCCTATGAACACTTCTATCAAGCCCTCGAAAAATTAAACAAGCCCTCCCAGCTCAGAGACTCAGAAGAAAGCCTGTACAGTGACTACGTTGATCTTTTTTACAACGCCAAACCATACAAGCATAGAGATGACAGACTGCTGCAAGCCTTGGTTGAGATTATAAACGAAGGAAACTAAACTGTAGGGTATGGCACTGAGTTGGAAATGTTCACTCTCCCCCCACCCAACCTGTAGTTTTTTTTCAGAAGTCTGTTGTATGCTCTAGTTGTGTGACCGCTGCTTTGATTGCTTCATATTTAATACAAATATCAAGGAAGGGGAAAGCCGGCTGTGGGAGGAAAAGGCAGTGAACTGATGCTTTTTAGTAATAGCTTCTTTCAAAGCCTTTCTTCACTACCATCAGAGTAGATTTGCCCCCTCAGGCATGAAATGCAATAGTATTCCCCTGAACACCCCAGTGCTCTGTTTTAAATAATTCTCACGTTACTTATTCTTCCGCCCTCTTCACTTAGCATGCAGTAGGGTTTGAAACCCAAATTAACAAGCAGTTTTGAGCCGAGCTGCCAAAGCTCTCGGGAGGTACTCTCGTCCCTGGATTTGCAATGAATATTGCAGTCTGTACGTTTGGCATTTATTCCAGACTTCACACTTGCAGCCAGTGCTGCTTCTGTCGTAGGTTTTTGTTCCTCCCCCAAAGCAGCGACGCTCCTTTACCCGTCTGTTCTCCCGTAACGGAGCAGCGGGGAGGCCTGGAGCACCAGTGAGCGCTGATGATGTTATTCACGATTTAAGCTGCAGACAGACGTAGAGTAACATAAAAGAGCCCCACATGAGGCGTCCCAGACCACGGGATGGCATCCTCACCGCCGAAATTTTACTGCCTGAGTGAAGTGCCTGAGTTATGAGCCTGCTCTTTCTAAGCTGTGTGTAGCTAATGAGGACAGAGGCTCCTGTGGGCAGCACTTCAGAGCACAGGTTCTGAATTACCTGGTGCAGGCTATTTGTATCGACTATTTGGCCTTTGAGGGACCAACCTCCTGCCTATGGAGCCTCAGTTAGATGTGTAAAGTTAAGTAATATAAACGCCTTCTGAGGTGCCTGTATCTGCAGTGGTCAGGGCAAGAAAGCTGGGTGGCTTTGTCCTTTCCTGGACCCGTGACCAAAGTGGAATGGAAAGGAAAACTGCACCAGCAAAGTCCACTTAAAGGCTGGACCCTGGAGTGTCTGTGATAGATTGTCACATTTCCCAAATACCTAGGAAGTTAGGGAAAAATGGATGGGGAGAGGTGTGAGATTAAAAGAACACCCAGAAATGGGATGTGGAGGAGGGAGAGGAGCAGGAGGAAGAAGGGGGAAGAGGAGGAAGCAGGGGCGGGCAGCTCCCCAGCAGTCGCAGTATACCAGACACACAGTTTTCCACACATACCTCTTTGATGTCAGCGTCAAGACTGACGAGTTATTTTGCTCTTTATAATTTTTTTTAAAAACTAATATGAAAAACGCAGTGTTTGGTGCTCAGAAATTGAAGGGGATCTAGAACAAGGCCACGAAGATTCCCAGGGGATACTCACCTCACTGCAGTGCCAAAGATAATCCAAACAAGTGCTGCCTGGTGTTTACTTTTCCTTCACTCCCACCAGCTATGGAAATTTGTTCTCCAGACATCCTAGGAATATCTGATTCTCCTTCACTGTCTATTCCTTGAAGTGATGCAAGTGTCTCAAAGACAGGGATGTAGCATTTTGCTCATAGTTCATCAGTATGGATAGAGTGTGTTTTCAGATTTCACACTGAATTCTGTAACTTAAAGGTAAATCTGTTTGCTGTAACAGTGCTTAAGTCTTCTTCTGTGGAAAAAGGGACTGCTTAAAGGCAGCTTTGAAAACTGTCTTACCAAACTTAAGATTTAAAAATCTCCGCTTATCCATTCTGTGTGGTGGTTTCATGCCTATCCTGGGCTTTTTTTGCCAGCTTTAAATAGATTGAGCTTAGCTGATTCGAAGAATCCTTCCGTATTTCTGATCCACACTTTGAAGATAACGGCTCCACCGTTGGATGTCTCATGTACCGGATCGCTCCATCTCTGTTGAGAAAGTTGCTTAGAATGAGAAGTGATTAAGAAAAAATCCCCACAAGTGCTCTAAATCAGAAAGGTTTCTTGTGCTGTCCCGTTCATGCACAAAAGATAACAGCTGAATAAGCAGAATTCAGAAGTTCCTAATTGCTGCTATTGCAGAGCGAGAGCACGAACCGATTCTCGCTAATGTTCAGTTTTCAGAACTGGCAGAGCCACTTTGAGTCCTGTGCGATGGAGCTCAGAGGCTGTTCCCCCCGAAAGCAGCAATTTTAGGCAGTCCTCATCCAGGCACGTTACAGCGAGGAAAGCACTAGCAACACCCACTCAGCCCCTGAAAGAACTTCTCGGATTAAACGGGTGGAAAACATAGGGCCCTCCTTTGTTTTACGGTCAGTTCCCACGTTGTAGCCGAAGTTTCATGAGAGGACAAGTTTAAAAATCTCTCTTTTAAATGTTTCCAACCCAGGGTAGGTTGTACAAGAGTAAATTATTTTTATTGTTAGTCTTTCCTTGGTGCCTGTGTGGGTTTTGTGAAAAATGTAAAAGGGGAAAAAAAAGAAGAAAAAAAAAAAAAAAAAGAGTTTTCTCTCAGAATTTTAAATTATATTTTCGTTACAGGTATTTATAATATAGCAAAGATTTTATTGAACAGACGGAATTTTAAAAGGCGTAATAAATTATATTGAAGAACCAGATTTTTCTTGGGAAAGAGACGATTTCATCCAATAAAGGTATTTTTTAAAAGGCATGTTCCAACAGCAACCGCAACATGTATGTGATGTGATGCTAAACTTTGTCTACTAGTAGCATAATACAGTGTGTTAGCAGAGCTCAGTGTGTGGTCGTAACATTTGTAAAGAAAACAGAAAGGTACAGTCAAGCCATGGGCTTAAAAGGGCTGGGAAATACAGTTTAGAATTAAAAATAATGGCTTCAGGAAGTCGCAGGGGGCTGGGTGGAGAAAAACGTGTAATTTATTGAAAATGAAGGATTTCTTCTCCAGGAGCACTGGGGTCGCAGAAGGAGTTGCTGCAGGCGTGAGTGAGTGCAGCGCTGTCAGACCCCGGGGGCTCTGAATGACAAAATTCGGGGTATTTCGCATGTGGAATTTAAAAATTCTGGGTGTTTCGCATACAGAATGACAAAATTCTGGGTTTTTCACATACAGAATTACAGAATTCGGGGTGTTTCGCACACAAACGTGTGTCGGGAGCACTGCAATGACACAATAACACAGCAGGGTGAGTCGGGGGCCCAATTGAGCTCGCAGGTCTTCACTCCCATGCACCCAAGCAACAGCAGTTAAAACAGTCAACATTTTTTCCCCCCTCTCCGCTACCTCTTACATTTCAAGCCAGTAAAGGAACAAGCCCTTATGCACACTTACGTGCTCCGAACTTGGAAATTCAGTGTTCAAAAGAAGCGTCCTCTTTCTTACCTCTCCCAAAGTCACTTCAAGCTGTAAACAACCATGAGCGTTTTCAATAAAAACAAAGGAGTTTTGAGAGTTTACGAGCACGACACTGGAATTATCTCGGTGTCAGAAATCAGGTGTGAGTGTTATGTTAACTCCATCAGAGCAGCGGGAGCGGCACTGTCCCTTCTGCAACAGCAAACCGACCGCTGCCGCTGCGTTTTCCCAAGGCTGCAAACCCAAGGAAAGCTGGCTCCCGGGTTGGCTCAGCTCTGAAAACGGTTACAGATTTAAAATCACAGGGGAAAAAAACCCGGCCGTTATTTTGCAACGCCACTTTGTGTTTGTGCAGATGCAGAATATCCGCACAGCCTTTCTGCCTGATCTGATTTTTCCTTTCATCGCGTCCATTTCCAGAGCTCCTGGAAACCGTGCCATTCACAGCAGTTGTTTTAGAAAGGGACAACTCTAAAAATGTGTGTTTTGCTCTGAATCAATTGCTCGGCCAGATAATTCTGACTGCAGACTGAAAAGGCTCAAACTCCAACCCTACTGGGCACTAATAGAGATAATTTCAGTAAACATTTTTCTATTTAATGACACAAGTACTCATTAAAAATATTGCTTTTTTATTGCGATTTGTGAGGGTAATGTAACCAGAAAGAATGACAAATTCCGCTTCCAGCAACGCAGTCAATGCCCAGTGGAAAAAAAAAAAATAGGTCAAATATGTTCCACTAAGATACCAGAGAAAAATAAATACATGGTATGCGAATATGGGCAGCTATCAGGAAAATATATCTTAATGGTTGTATCATTCCAGCTATTTGCCTCCGATCAAATGAGGCTGAGCACATATCTCTTACCTTCTGATGTCCTATTCCTAAAACAAATGAATGGGTGCTGTGCACCCACCGGTTTGTTTGGCTGTGCCCACATTATCAGCCGATGCTCTCGGTCCTTAACACGCGGCGCCACGCGTTGCGATAAGGAAACGCACGTAGAGCCGGGGACGTGCGGCCCCGCATGCGCTGGTCCACAAAGCACCGGTGTGAAACGGCCCCGGTTGGGTTGGACAGGGAGGGGAGTTGTACACCGGCACCCTCAGACTGCACCAATGAGCCCCGCGCCCACCGATAGTGATGGAGCAACTGGTTGGGTGGGAGCACAGAGAGTTGTGGTGAATGGAGCTAAACCCAGTTGTGACCAGGCACAAGCGGTGTTCCCCAGGGCTCTGTTTTGGGGCCAGTCCTGTTTAACATCTTTATCAATGATCTGGAGGAGGGGATTGAGTGCTCCCTCAGCAAGTTTGCAGATGACACTGAGTTGGGAGGGAGTGTTGATCTGCCTGAGGGTAGGAAGGCTCTGCAGAGGGACCTGGACAGGCTGAATCCATGGGCTGAGGCCAATGGGATGAGCTTCAACAAGGCCAAGGGCCGGGTCCTGCACTTGGGTCGCAGTAACCCCATGGACTCTACAGACTTGGGGACAAGTGGCTGGAACTGCCAGGCAGAAAAGGACCTGGGGATCTTTCGAGGTCCCATCCAACTCCTAATATTCCGTGATTCTGTGAAGCATCCAGAGAGTCAAGGCAACGTTCACAGACGTGGTTCAACGGGGAACTGGACTGCCTCCGTGCTAATTCACAGCTTGTGAGAGATGTATTGGAGGCTGAGGATTCAGAAAAAGTTGTAGCTGTTAGCTTCTCCTCTTTTACTCTGTATTTCATACAGTCACAGAATGGTTTTGGTTGGAAAAGACCTTCAAGATCAT